ACGAGGCGCAACAGTCCAAGCAAAATCGTTTGCGAGGACCTCAAGTGATCTTCATACTCCTCATCGGTCACCGATATCATGACTCTCGGTACCGGTCATCTCCATACCCACTCCAGACATCGATCCCCGATGCCGCCGACTGCCGGGCAAAGCAGCTCTATGCCAAAATCGTTTGCGAGGACCTCAAGTGATCTTCATACTCCTCATCGGTCACCGATATCACGACTCTCGGTACCGATCATCTCCATACCCACTCCAGACATCGATCCCCGATGCCGCCGACTGCCGGGCAAAGCAGCTCTATGCTAACTCCCCCTCGCCGACCATCCGCCTCGGAAAATACTCATCAGACTCGAGCTCAAGTCTTTCAGAGTATATCCGTACCACCTCGCCGGGGGACACACGCAACTACCCGGGTCTCAGGTTTATTTGCCTATCAACGGGTGACACACGCAAACCCGAAGTCCGTTCCATGGCCAATGGAACGTTGGCGCGGTTGCCAAAGAACCGTACTTCCTCGTCATGCATTCGGGTGACACACGCAAACCCGAATACATGAGTCGTAGGATGCCATAACCGTTCATCAGGGAACGATGGCGCGATCGAAGATCGCCACAATCACAATCACGTCTCCACGAGATGATAATCGATCCGGATCGAATATCATACCGCGAAGATTTACAATCAAGACAATCATCGTGATATTATTAAAAAAAACCCGTCTACAATCATACACTTAACAATACCCGGACCCATCCGAGTAAGGTCAATGCCATGCCATCTACCCTGACAAGATTTCTCAATCACAAACGATCATGCATTATTACTTACCGTACACAAGGTCAAGCATAATTTCTTTTAAATTTGTTCTTATGTATTTTACTTATTTTTATGACTTATTTAATCTTTTAAATCATCGGTACGATCAAACTAGGTTCCGGCCCGTCCGGATTACTAGTTCGGCTCGTCCCGAGATTGATACTTACCCGGTCACATCGTTTGGTCTGAACTACGTATGGTCCGGTTCGAACTGAGTTTAGTCGTATTTTGGTTAAATTCTGGCTTTACGATTAGACCGAGTCGGTCCAATTTCTGAATCGTTTGCTTCAGCTTCGTCAAAGGCTGAGCTATCTTGGCGAACCCCTCAACGAATCGCCGATAATAGCCAGCTAGTCCCAGAAAACTCCTGACTTCCGTCGCAGAAGTCGGAAACTGCCACTCCATGACGGCCTCGATCTTGGCTGGATCGACCTGAATACCCTGGGCTGATACCACATGTCTCAGGAACCCAATATTCTGTAACCAGAAGTTGCACTTACTGAACTTCGCGTACAGCCGGTTCTCCCTTAGCCTCCGCAATATCTTCCGCATATGATCCTCATGTGCCTGCAGATCCGGCGAATAGATGAGGAGGTCATCGATGAAAATTTGGGGATGGACGGTCTGGGCCCAGTTTCGGCTCAGCTCCTCGCGCGTTCGTGGTCCGTTCGTTCTTCCTTCGTCAGTCCGTCCGTTCTAGTTTTCTGGACCGTCCGCCTCTTCTGGTCCGTCCGGACTGACGTGCATAGTCCGTTTTCGATCGCTCCGTTCTCACTCGTTACTTATCCAAATCACGCACCGTTTGTTTCTACGCCTTCTTTGGAACGTCCTCTTTCATGTCCAATAAATAGGTTATTGAAATCTCGCGTTTGTATGATGAGGCACAACTCGAAACGTCCGTATCTCGAATAACTCGTGAATTCTGAATTCCTAGGTTCTACTAAGGGTCGGTCCAGGG